CTTCCTTCCTTCCTTCCTTCCTTCCTTCCTTCCTTCCTTCCTTCCTTTCTTCTTCCCTTCTTCTTTTCTCTCATGCTCTTTCTTTTATTTTCCTTCCTATTTTCCTTCCTTCCTTTCCTTTCCTTCCTTCCTTTCCTTTCCTTCCTTCCTTCCTTCCTTTCTTCATCCCTTCCTTTCTCTCTCCCTCTTTCTTTTTTCTCCCTCCCTCCCTCCCTCCCTCCCTTCCATCCTCCTGCCTTAAGATGGCTTCATCTGTTCTGTTTTGCATCCTCCTCTACATTTTGAACTATAGGAGAACAGTAAGGAGATTTATTTAGCATTTATTCCTGATTTTATAGTGTCTGGAACTGAAAACTCGACTCAGAAGCCAACCCTTCAATCTCCAGAGGGCTCGGAGGGTTCCAGAGTTGGATCTTAAGAGGGAAAAAAAAGACCCTGCCATTTGACAAAAACCACAATTTCTGATTTTCATTCCTTTTTCCATACCTTAGAGACAGTTGACATTTCCCCGAGGAGTTTCTGTCTCACAGATTCCGAGGAGTCCACCCTAAAACTCTTAATTGTAACGTGCTTTTTTTTTAATCCGAGGAGAATTTTAAAGGTCATATTAGATTGCTCAGTACTTACTCTGTGTTTACTCTTCTTGTGCTCCCTTCTTGCAAATTATACCAGGTTCCAGAGGCTGGAGAAATGGAGGAGGCCTTTTTACCAAGTCCTGAAAGCGTACGAAAACGCCTCCGTGTTGCTTCCCGCCTTCTACAACACCCACAACACCGACGTCTCCCTCAGGGTCAGGTACGTCCTGGATGACTTCCAATCCAGGAAGGCCGTCTACTTTTTCCACCCCAAATATCTCACGAACGTTTCCCGCTACTGGTTGACTCAAGGGGTGCGGGCAAAGCGCATCACCACGGGGCTGATACTTGTGACGGCCGCCTTGGAGCTGTGTGAAGAGGTGCACCTCTTCGGGTTTTGGGGTTTCCCCATGAACCCCTCAGGGATATTTATAACTCATCATTATTACGACAACGTCAAACCTCGGCCCGGATTTCATGCCATGCCTTCAGAGATGTTCAACTTTCTTCGTCTGCACAGCAGAGGGGTTTTAAGAGTCCACACGGAGGCCTGCAGCTACTCCTGATCCAATTCAACGGATGGATTGTTTCCTTTCCCTTTTTAAAGCGAAATATAGGTGTTTTGGGGGTCTTTTGCCACATTCTGAAGCAGAAAAGTAAATTAGCGGGCAGGATAAACCGTTGGGCCAGGCGTTCTGTGCAAATGAATTTTAATGCTTTCAAGAAAATTATGCAATAATATTTGAGCTTCTCTTTCTCGTCAGGTTTTGCTTTCCTTCAGAGTTGGTGGCCCGCCATCCTCTTTTCCCCCCCACCCCTCATCAGCCATGTTGGGCTGTTGTCTTTTGGGTGAAGCACATCTTCGTGTGGCAGGAATGAGCATCCTGCCTTGGAGCCTCCAGCAAGTAAAAGCACATTAGCCTAAAGATTTTACAGTAGAAATAGAGCACATCACTTTAGGGATTCAGTATTTCATTTCTAGGATGGCATCAAAGCTGACAAGCAGGAAATTCCTTCAAAAGGGTTGTTTTGCAAAGCAGCTGTGAATTAGGACAGGATTCATGAGAGGCTTCAGCCTAATAAGCATGGTTTCTGTACTCCTTCCTTCCTTCCTTCCTTCCTTCCTTCCTTCCTTCCTTCCTTCCTTC